TGGTGTTCATGCGGGTTTAGCTGTCTGTGGGGTTTCTGCCCCCTCAGTGGTTGTGACAACCTGCCCAGAAGCCACCGCAGACGGCCGGGCAGACTCATCCGACTTGCTTTCTTGAGACTGGAAACAGAAACTGCACCTTCCAGTGCCTCTTTAAAAAGCACTTTTTCTTGTCCAAAAGTGAGAGATGTGTGGTTGGAAGGACTAGCTGTCATTTGTCCAAAGTCTAAATTTCTATAAGCTGCCTAATGATATATCCTCAACTGCAGCTCCAAAACGCCTGGGCCAAGGTAGGTCTCCATTTTCTTCAATTTTTTGTGGTAAAATATTTTAAGAGCTTCTTTGACAAACTTCCCTGTGAGAACTAAACCCCATTTAATCTCCCTCTGCATCTATTTTGCATTAAATACTGACTGTGGGCAGTTCAGTTGGAAAGATTACTTTATGTAGAAGTTGGAATGGCTACTTGGTTTGAATTTTAGTTGTCCATAAATCCACTCTAATGATAGATAAAGTGGTAGATGCCTCTTAGGATTGAGAAAGGGATAGACACCATTTATGATAATAAAAGCCATAGATGCCTGTTAGGATAGAGGAAGTGATGGATGCCTTTTACGATAGATAAGGGGATAGATGCCCCTTATGTTAGATAAGGTGATAAGATGCCTCTAATGATAAAGCAATAGACACCTCTATGATAGACAAGTAAGGTATATAAAACAATAATACTGATAAAAGTAACAGAGGAAGTTGTCACAAAGTAAATTATACCTTATGTATTAATGTATTATGAATATCTCAAGGTTCATGATGCAGCACTTGAAATTTATTAGTAAAATGAATAAAAAAGGTCAATAAGTATTATCCCATGTGCAATGCTGTAAATGCAGTGAAAATACAATTCCTACTTGCAAATGTTTACAACCTAAAGTAATGGACAAAGTCTGGATCTATAAGACAACAGCTTTGCAAATATTTTTGTTTACACACATTTTTAATCTGTGCATATTAGGATGTGAATTAGGAGTGAAATCAGGACGAGTGGAGGAGAGATGGAAAAGTTTATTCACAGCTTTTCCCTCCTTAGTCACATGTGAGGACTGGTTCAGCATAAACAGGAAAACTGATGTTTCCATTTCATCAAGGCATTTTGTCCTTGCAAGGGATATTCAGTTTTACTTCTTGCTCAGTGACCACTTCACAATAAACCAGGAAGTGCGTTTGAATTACCAGAGCAGAAGCTGCTTGCAAAATTTGACAGGATCACAGGAGTTTCACTCAACCGCACTCTAAACGTTGTACATAATGTTCCTCAAAATGTTCGCTTCGTCTTGTAGTTCAAATATTAGCACTGCATTAAACAGCTTCTCATCCATGGGAAGGATCCTGCTGCTAAGAAAGATCAATAGCTATTGACATGAGCATTGGAGGAGGGACAAGAGTATCAAGAGTTCAGAATGCAGCAGCAGGTTTACAGCACTGCAAATGTATATAGGTTTGTACATGGTCACATGTTTCAGTAAGGTAATTAAATAGATTCCAGATTTATAAAATAAACAGTCCATTGCAGCCAAGCAAGGCTTAAACAGCTAAGAAAAATATTAAATAGGAAAGTTTTGGAAAATGTAATTGCCCAAGTGTCCAGTGTTTTTCCTCATCACTGAGCCTTTCTGGTTTAAGCAAGTCCATGTAACAAATCCAGATTTATTAGGTCTTCAGCAAGGTAACAGGTTTTGTATGTAATTCTCCCTTCGAAAGGCAAAGATAGCCAGTACCTAGCATATCTTCAGCTGGCAGAGAGCTAGAAAAAAAACCTGGAGTGTTCACTTACACATAAGCCACAGCTGGCAGCACATCCCCATCCAACCAGGAAAGTGAGATCCAGTAAGTGCAACTGCAAGAGTGGAGAGCACATGGACAAGTGAGCTGGTCTGAGAACAGTGCAAAACAGCACAGGAATGCAACTGGAGAGTATCAGAATAGTTCACAACTAGCAGATGCATTGCAATAAAATATTCCAAACTGAATTTACCTATGAATGAAATAACAATCTATCACTGCAATTTGCCAGTTACCACCTTAAAACCATCAGGAACACAAAATCAGATTATCCTCGCTTGTCTGAAGATGCATTTAACTACTTCTTACATCACCTGATTTTCAAGAGGCTCTTGATGTGGAAAATTCCTTAGGTGATCTTAGCACTTCCCACAATTAACTCTTAGAAGATCTTAGTAAGAGCAACAAAGCTTCTGTTCAACAGTCTTACCTTTCACATTAAGAAATTACATAGTGGCATCCTCATTAATGAACTTCTGTGATTAAGTTAATGTGCTGAGTGAATATCAGGAATTAAAGACCCTACTATGAAACAAAAAGCTGTTTACAAAGCAAGCTGCTGTTTTTAGAATACGAAAGCTCAAAAAGCAGGAAAGCCTCAGGAGTTTTAAGCTATATTAAGAAATAGCTGTAAAAGACACTTGGCTTTCCCTGTCAACCCTGAGCTGTTCAGTTTCAGCCCTTGCTACAAGTGCTAAAACTGAAGACACTTCAAATAAAATGATTTTTCATATTAACTTGTAAGTTACACCTTAGTCTCACTAATTTGAGGTTCTACCTTGAACAGATTCTGTGATCACTAATTGCTACTTTGAGGCTGATAGACTAATTTATACAAATCTGCATCGAAATAGAAATTATTTAGTTTTACTTCAGGCTATTCATCAGCTTGTTCATATACTGCAAAATGCACCCTTTTATATTTAGTAAGGGTCAATATGGTGGCAGAAATTAATGTTCCAGCTACCCCTCTACTATTATTTCATTGTTTTCTACATGTGTATATTCCAGTCAGAGTAATCTCCCTCCCTCCCTCCCCAGGAAGTCAAAAAATAGTAGCATACCTTTGTTGTGGCATTTCTTGGAGCCTGATGTAATGATCCCCCCTGTGCCCCTTAAGTTTCATGGGCCTCATTCAATTTTACTGCATTTGGTAGCACACAGAGGATCAGGATGCACCTGCAAACTTGCAGCACATGATACTTCCTTTAGTTCAAGGTTCCAACTTGGCACCATTCATGGAGAATGTTTCATGTAACAATAGGCTGTTGTTGTTTTTTCCAGCTCAGTTTACACGTGGCTTACACACAGATTCACCAATATATTAATAAGTATTCTTGAATAGCCTGAAACTATTTGTAGTTTGTGTTGGGGGGGTGAGGGGGAAGAAACTTATCTTCTAGAAACGAATAAAGAAACTGAAGTGAAAGATACTGAGATGTATGAATTAACCTTTTCAGTATATGCAATTCATATTTAACCATAAATATCGGCTAGTTAAGACCATTACATCAATTTGTCATTGTAAATGACCACTAAATTAATTTATATTGAATGATGCACAGCAGTTATAGCCATCATTCGAACTTTTGATTCAAGATTGTTTTTTTTAAAAGATGAAGTATATGCCAGTGCTTTTAAACTGAACAGCAGATACCTACCTCAAAGAGGTCCTTAACAGGAAAAAACCAATTTGCTCCTTTCATAGTTTAACCTTTCCCTCAGATAACTTTGTATCACACTTCCTGGGTGCTTCTCTTCAGCAGAATGTTGTGGTTTTGTTTTTTGTTTTTTTTAAAGGACACAAACTACCCAACAAGTTTATTTGAAAGTTAAATATTAGGCATTAGCAACGTTACTTCTGATACGAGCTAGTATGTTTTAGAAGTAGAATTTGTAGCTGAAGCTTTAGGAAAAGGTCACTTTCCCCACAATTGTGTAACATTTGACCAGACAACTTCCGCTTTGTTCAACTGATTTAAATACAGCCAGTACATGATGCTGGCAGCCATACAAAACATATGAGAAACTTGCACTTTAACCTGTGGTAATAACAGCAAGATTCTGACTGGCTCCAAATGCAGTACTTGCATTTTCAGTGCCACACCAAGTTGAATTCAGTACCACCTAAATGCAAAGCAGCATCTGATTAAAAAAAACACATAAGTCAAAAGATAAAGCTACATAAGGACAATAGTATTTGTATAAAGTTCCAAAAATATACAGATGGGGGGGGAATCACTGTACACAACTCTGAGGTTGTTAAAGTGATCAGAGACTGAACATTGCAAGACATGCCTTTCCAGTTACAAGCTCAAAACAGAAGTGCAAAAGAAATTAAAGCTTCATCAGAAGTGATTTACCTTTTAGGATAAGGAAACCGTAGAATGTTGTCATCAGTGTTACAGAGAAATTTCCACCCCACCCAAATACATACACACAAAATCATTGAAGTTTTTCCATAATACAGAATTTCATTCAAACATGTCCCCATGAGCTTGGGTGTTGTGGAGACAATTTGACACTGATTAAATGTCAGCCTGTGAATCAAGTGATCTCAGTTCTCCAGCTTTGGCTAACCATACCTGTGATTTATAGGCAGTGAGAAAGACAAGAGCACCTGGGTTCAAACTCTACCATGTGAGACCACATTACTGTCAGAAAGCAGATGCTAAGCTATGGCTGAGGAATAAAGAAATTGCTTTATAGGTCTCTGTGCTCTTGCCTAGCGTTCAGAACAACTTCAGGGAAGTGCTTTTGGTAGGCTAAGCTGCACAAGCATATATCCATGCAAACGTGGAATATGGCTCCCAAGACCAATATCCAGGGGGTATGCATGTGAAGACCAGACCGAGGCCCTTCAAGTTTACAAAAATATATAGCCAATACTGTAGCTTAAGAAATCAGTGTTACTTGTTACATAGGCCCCCAAAAAAGTATTAACTACTTTTCAGACATTCCAGACAAGGTCACTTTTAACAAAAAAGGTCAAGTTCTCTAAACCAAGATTTTACAAATGGATCTTTCCTTCAAGTGAACAGGACATTTGTTTTTGCACTTAACTTTTTAATCAGTTAAGACTGAATTTATTTAAGGTTTTTATTTGAACATATGCATAAACACAAATAAGTTTAAACACATCGGCACAGAAAAAAGTAGTTAAACCTTTCAAAACATAACAAAGCAGGTCTGGTTAGTATGTAACTGTTGCAAATCTGAAAGATTTTGTGCATTAGGCCCACCCATACAGAAAGCAGGGGAAAAGTCTCAATGAAAGAAAATTACTGTTCAAGTCTAAGTGGTGTTTTGAAGAACCAGCAGCCTAAGTGACACCATGAAGCTAGTCACAAACAAGCAGACCTGCTTGGGCTACTAAAGGTAAGTGTATCCTCCTGAAAGTGTCATTTACTCCCAAGTTATTTTCTGTTTCGAAGGCGTTTAGATTTCCTAGGACAGTCTGTAGATTCAACCGTCTTCCTCCGTTTTCTAGGAGATTGTTCATTTGAGCCAGACCCTGAAGAATTTCCTACTGTGCTCTCCGTCACATCTCGCAGCTTGCGTTCAAGCTCAGCCAATCGGGCATTCTGTTCACCTATGATTTGGGTTTGCTCAAGCAGTTTCTGATCTTGATCTTGGAGTTGTTTCTGTTGCTCTTGCACTTTGATGCGAAGCTCTGAGATTTCACGCTTTAGCGATGTCAAGCCTGTGCCGTTCGCTCTTATTTGCTGCTGGAGTTTAGTGACTTCCTGTCTTGAAGGGTTCTGCTTGGAGAATAGCTGCATTGTTGTCAGTGCAGCAGAAGGTCCTGGAACTTCAGAGAAAACTGCAATTAAACCTCTACAACTTTAAGATAGAAATTGTGTCCCAGTTTTCATATTTTACTTATCCCTAGTCCCCAAACATAAATCTGAATACTGGTTGTAAGTTACATGAACATGTCAACAGATTTACAGTCACAGACAGGCTTAGAAAATTGGGGCTGTTCAGCCTGGAGAAGCTGCGTGGAGACCTCAGAGCAGCTTCCAGTATCTGAAGGGGGCTACAGAGATGCTGGAAAGGGACTCTTCATCAGGGATTATAGCCATAGGACAAATGGGCAATGGATTAAAACTCACACAAAGGAGATTCAGGTTAGATATAAGGAAGTCGTTCGTTACCATGAGGGTGGTGAGGCACTGGAACAGGTTTCCAAAGAAGTGGTAAATTCTTCATCCCTGGCAGTATTCAAGGCCAGGCTGGACAGCGTCCTGGGCACCATGGTCTAATGGGAGGTGTCCCTGCCCATGCCTAGATGATCTTAAGGTCCTTTCCAACCCTAACCATTCTATGATTCCATGACTTAAGTGTATTACAAGAGCACATGATATCTCAGAGCACAATTAGCTTAATTTAAAATATGTAAGATTTTCAGTAGTGTGGAAAACAGCTGATCATTAATTTTCTGTATATAAGCTCTCCTCCTTTTGCTGTATCAAAAATTACATAAAGACATCATCTAGACTTAGTTTTAACAGATGTTAGGTCAAAACCCAACAACATGTCTATAAATTATTTATTACTGAATAGATATATTAAGTATATTTCAATAGAGAAATAAAACTGTGCTGCCTTAGTTGTAAACAACTAAAGTTCTAAAATTTTGTGGTTTGGGGCTTAACAAGATACTACACTTGAACTTACTTTTTGGAAGAACACGTTTTACTTTCCATTCCTTAGAATGACTCTTCCTAAATGCTAAAATCAATCTACGTTTTGAGCTTGGGGATCTTGAGTCTACTAAAGATCCTGCAAATCAAGGACACTAAAAGCTACAGTATAAACTCTGTCACTTTATCTATCATAAGGTGTCTATCACTTTATCTAACATAAGAGCTATCTATCACTTCCTCTATGGTAAGAGGTACCTATCACAACAGGCATCTATCACTTTATTATTCCTAAAAAGCGTCTATCACTTTATCTATCTTAAGAGGCATCTATCATTTTATCTATACTAAGAGGCATCTATTGCTTTATCTATCTTAAGAGGCATCTATCATTTTATCTATACTAAGAGGTGTCTATCGCTTTATCTATCTTAACAGGTGTCTATTGCTTTATCTATCTTGAGGTGTCTATCATTTTATCTCTCCTAGGAGAGATAAAGCGATAGATGCCTCTTAGGAAAGAGAAAGCGATAGATGCATCTTAAGAGGCATCTATCACTGTATTGTAAAAGGTGTCCATCACTTTATCATTACAGGCCTCAGGTGTCTGTCACTTCCTTTATCGTAAGAGGTACAGATCACTTTATTATAAAAGGCATCTATCACTTTTATCATAAGAGGTGCCCATCACTTCACCATCCTGAAGAGGCATCCATCACTTTATCATAAAAGGTGCTCATCACTTTTTCTATCATAAGAGGCATCTATGACTACCATAAAAGGCATCTATCACTATCATAAGAGGCACCCGTCGCTTTATCTATCATAATAGGTGTCTATCACTATCATAAAAGGTGCCCATCACTTTATCATGAGGCATCTATCGTCTTATCTATCGCAAGAGGCGCCTACCACTTTATCTGTTGTTAGAGGCATCCATCACCTCCTCTATCATAACAAGTATCTATCACTTTATAGTAAAAGGTGTCTGTCCCTTTATGCATCCTAAGAGGCATCTATCCCTTTATCATATAGGTGCCCATCACTTTATCCTAAAAAGCATTTATCACTTTATCGTAAGAGGCATCTATCACTTTACTAATCCTAAGAGCCATTTACCATGATCGTACAAGGCATCTATCATCAGAGGCATCTATCACTTTATCAATCCTCAGAGCCATCTATTGCTATCGTAAGAGGAATCTACCACTTTATCTATCATTGAGGCATCTATTACCTTATCTATCATTAGAGGTATCTATCGAATTTATCTATCATAAGAGGCATCTATCACTTTGTCCTAAGAAGCATCTATCCTTTTATCTATCATATACATGTCCATCACTTTACCGTAAGAGACATCTATCACTTTATCAGTCCTAAAAGTCATCTACCGCTTTATCTATCATTAGAGGCATCTATTGCCTTATCTATCCTAAGAGGCATCTATCACTTTATCATCAGAGGCATCTACCACTTTATCCATCATAGATGCATCCATCACTTATCTATCATAACAGGTGTCTATCCCTTTATCCATCCTAAGAGGCTTCTATCAGTTTATTTATCATATAGGTGTACATCACTTTATCATAAGAGCTATCTATCACTTTATCAATCCTAAAAGCCATCTATCACTTTATCAATCCTAAGAGGCATCTATTGCTATCATTAGAGGCATCAATCACGTTATCTATCATTAGAGGCATCTTTTTATCAGAAGAGGCATCTATCACTTTATCTGTCATAAGAGACATCTACCACTTCATCTATCGTTAGAGGCATCAATCACCTTATCTATCAGAGGCATCTATTATGTTATCTATCACAGAGGCATCTATCACATTATCATAGAGACATCTATCACTTTATCAATCATATGAGGCATCTATCGCTATCATTAGAGGCATCCACCACTTTATCATCTGAGGCATCAATCACCTTATCCGTCATTAGAGGTAACAGTTTATCGTAAGAGGCATCTTTACCTACATAGAAGCATCTATTATGCTATCGATCATAGAGGTATCTATCACATTATCTATCAGAGATACTTACAACTTTATCATAAGAGTCATCTATCAATTTATCTACCATTAGAGGCATCTTATCATTTTATTATGGAAGCATCTATCACTTCATCAATCCTAAGAGGCATCTATTGCTACATTAGAGGCATCTACCAATTTATCAGAGGTATCAATCACCTTATCTACCATTAGAGGCATCAGTTTATCGTAAGAAGCATCTATCACTTTACCTATCATAGAAGCATCTATTATGTTATTGATCATAAAGGTATCTATCACATTATCTGAGACACCTATTACTTTATCATGAGTTGTCTATCAATTTATCTATCATTAGAGGCATCTATCGCTTTATCTATCATAGAGGCATCTTGTTTTATCTATTATGGAGGCATCTATCACTTATCCATCATAGAGGCATCTATCGCTGTCTTAAGAGGCATCTACCACTTTATCACTGAGGCATCTATCACCTTATCTATCGTTAGAGGCATTAGTTTATCATGAGTCATCTATCACTTTATCTGTCGTAAGAGACATCTACCACTTCATCTATAACAAGAGGCATCTATCACTTTATCTGTCATAGAGGCATCCATCACTTTATCACAGAGACATCTATCACATTATCTATCATAGAGACACCTATCAATTTTTCTTAAGAGGCATGTATCACTTTACCTATCATTAGAGGCATCTATCACTTTATCAATCATAGAAGCATCTATCACTTATCCATCATAGAGACATCTCATCACTTTATCTATTATGGAGGCATCTGTGACTTTTTCGATCCTAAGAGGCATCTATCACTATTTTAAGAGGCATCTATGGCTTTATCATCATTAGAGGCATCTATTATCTTACCATTAGAGACATCACTTTATCATAAAAGGCATCTATCAATTATCAATCCTAAGAGCCATCTATCACTTTATCAATACTAAGAGGCATTTATCACTATTAGTAGAGGCATCAATCACCTTATCTATCATTAGAGGCATTATTTTATCGTAAGAGGCACCTATCACTTTATAACAAGAGGCATCTAAGCACTTTATCTATCATAGAAGCATCTATTACATTATGTATCAGAGACATCTATCAATTTATCATAAGAGGCATCTATCACTATCATAGAGGCACCTATCATCCATCATAGAGGCATCTTATCACTTTATCTATTATGGAGGCATCTATCACTTTATCAATCCCTCTATTGCTATCATTAGAAGCATCTACAACTTTATTATGAGAGGCATCAATCACCTTATCTATCATAGAGGCATCTATTACATTATCTGTCATAAAGGCATCTATCACATTAACTATCAGAGACATTTATCACTTTATCAATCATAGAGGCATCTATCACTTTATCAATCCTAAGAGGCATCTATCACTATCATTAGAGGCATCTATCACTTTATCATAAGAGCTATCTACCACTTTATGAATCCTAAGAGCCATCTATTACTTTATCAATCCTATGAGGTATCTATCGCTATCTTTAGAGGCATCTACCATATATCATTGAAGCATCTATAGCCTTAGATATCATTATAGGCATCTATCTCTTCATCAATCCTAAGAGGCATCTATCACCTTATCTATCATTAAAGACAACTTATCGCCTTATCTATCATTAGAGGCATCACTTTATCATAAGAGGCATCTATCACTTTATCTATCATAACAGGTATCTATTGCTTTATTTTTCATAACAGGTGTCCATCACTATCATAAGAGCCATCTATCACTATCATTAGAGGCATCAATCACCTTATCTATCATTAGAGGCATCAATCACCTTATCTATCATTAGAGGCATCTAACGCTTTATCTATCATTGAGGCACCTATAGCTTTATGTTTTGTAACGTGTCCATCATTTTATCATAAGAGGTATCTATCACTTTATCATAAGAAGTGTCTATCCCTTTATCTAGCATATGCATGTCCATCACTTTATCAATCCTGAGCCATCTATCACTTTATCAACCCTTAGAGCCATCCACTCTGCCTTCATGAGACCTTACTTGCAGTGTTGTGTACAGTTCTGGTGTCCTCAACATAAAAAGGACATGGAGCTGTTGGAGCAACTCCAGAGGAGGGCCACAAGGATAAAGGGGCTGGAGCACCTCCTGTATGAAGACAGGCTGAGAAAGGTGGGGCTGTTCAGCCTGGGGAAGAGAAGCTGTGTGGAGATCTCAGAGCAGCTTCCAGTATCTGAAGGAGGCTACAAGGATACTGGAGAGGGTCTCTTCGTTAGGGACTGTAGTGATAGGACAACGGGTGATGGGTTCAAACTTAAACAGGGGAAGTTCAGGTTAGATCTAAGGAAGAAGTTCATTACAGTGAGGGTGCTGAGGTATTGGAATGGGTTGCCCAAGGACGTGGTGAATGCTCCATCCCTGGCGGTGTTCAAGGCCAGGTTGGACAGAGCCTTGAGCGACATAGTCTAGTAAGAGGTGTCCCTGCCCATGGCAGGGGAGTTGGAGCTGGATGATCTTAAGGTCTTTTCCAACCCAAAACATTCTATGATTCTATCTATTGCT